GCTCCTACTATTTGTTTAATTTTTTAATCTTCTAAAGGCACTAACAATTGATTTCTCATCAATTGGTGATTTGTGGACACAATAAACAACTATTACAATGAATATAAAACACTTTCTATAACTTAGCCTTAATTTTATTATTGGTCTTGATATTACGTGTATAATTAGTACCTAATATTAAATATTGTATGCACTATACATTACCTTTCTTTACTGGAGTAGCTTATACTGACTGTTAGTAGTCTTCTCTTCTCTTCTCTTGTACTCCCTCTAGTCTGATCTCTCAGTAAACACTAGTGGGTAGCTTATTATATACAATTATGAAAATGCACTTGTACGTGTACTAGTGATAATGCAATACCTACTGTAATCATAACACATTTCCATATATGACCATAAATATTTTGAATTTCGAATGTTTTTTTTTGTATTCCAACTGTAAATAGTTGATAAGTAGGAGTCAACTTGTGTGTTAACAATATTTGTGTGCATGTTTATTTAATTCTTTTACCGTAGCTCCCTATAGCCTCAACTTGTTTTCATCTTTTTGCTCCTCATATGTAATTGCAATCTCTTATTTGTAAATCAAATTAACTTTCCAATAGAGGTGTGTTTGTAAGTGGCATTGATGCTCACCAGCTGATGATAGAACTCAACTAATTTAAAAGGTTGTTGCATTGTTCCCTTGTAATGAGTGCGTTAAGTTGATCATACAGTCTGGTATCACTGAGATATTATATGTCAGTGATAAATATCATGATACTGATCACATGATTGCTAGCTGGAAACTACTGGATATGGCTAAAGTTGAGTTAGTAGTCTCATAACTACATGGGTTCTGGAAACACTACTGTATATAGATTACAATGAAGCACATGATAATATTCTCCAACATCTTTATCATCACCATTATTGTTATTATTATTAATATTATTACCTGATCTGTTTAGCTTCTTTAATTCTGGTTTTACGACTAATAACTATTTTTAAAGCCAATTCTTATTTCTGAGCTCTGTTTTTGTTTTTGTTTTCTTCTCTACTTATATTTAAGGAAAGGGTTACATTTATACTATAATACATACATATACATGTATGCATGTAATATATGCCAGCTAGTCTTGCATAGTCAGACTCACACGGAATGTGTGTCTAGTTATGCAAACATGCCAGTAGGTTATTGTATCCTGTAACCCTAGATATACACATCTTTCTCTATATATGGCAGTGGTATGAATTTTTCAAATGTACATGTAGGAGTAATACTTAGCTGTACAATTTGCATAAACACACTGTTATTGTTGTTTGTAGCAACAAATGCCTTAATGCTGGTTTACAATATTACGCTAGCCCTGATGTTATGTTGACGCTGGAGTTGAATCTGGTTCAACTCCAGTATGAAGCATAAGTCAAAAGGTCAAATTGCCCACACTTTTGATTAAAAATTGAATGTACGTTGGCCTAACGTAATATTGTAAATCTGCCTTTAGTGCTCATTGGTGTGCTATACATTTGTATTATATGAGCAGATTAAAATTTTGGCTTCAAACCATATGCTTAGTATCAAGAGTACATAATACCTAAAGAGAGTGTCCAACGGCCCTATCTTGGCTGCTACAAGTGTGTGGATTTCTAGGCAGTCACGTTCAGGATACTTCTGTATATTATCAATGATAAATGTTGTTATAACATTTAGGAGTGTTTCCCTGTTTCCAATCCCATATATGTAGTCTCTAATATCTATGGTTATAACAACTCATCTGTATAAACATTGATTGAAAACTACTGAAGTATACTGAACATGACTTCCTAGAAATCCACACACTCAATAGGGCCATTAGATACTCTCTTTAGGTATTATTTACTCTTGTTAGTATCAATCTTATAGTTTACATTCATTATAATACATGTACTTACAATTTAATTTGAGCTTCACTATGTCATTTTTAAAGCACTATATATACAGTGTAGTTCATTTTTGAGAAAAAAGTCCTATGTTTGAGTCAATTTGACCAATTATTCAGTTTGAGCTATTTGAGTATTCAAAAAGCTTTTTAAATTAAAGCAACAATAAGTTAGTTATTTGGAATCCTGACAGAGTGGCATATTTTTTTATAGTAGTTATACAATGTGTGTATGTACTGTAATGAAATGACTTCTGTTATGATATGTTATGAAAGCAATGTATCTATAGTGAGCTATTTGGAACCCTCATTAGTGGCTAAAATTCATAGAAGGGAATTATGCATGGGGTGGTTTGAGAGGGAGACAGAGGAAAAGGAGAGCTTGTGTCAGTTGTGTGTGTATATGAAATAGTATACTATAGTATAGCCTCCCTTAATGGACACTCTTTATAGTAGAAACCTCCATTCAGCTGACAGTGTACCAATTACATTCCTTACGGTATACCTCCACATAAAGGTGTGTCATGCTGAATTGAATGCTATCCTTAATAAGAACTCAGCTGATGTTAAAGGATGTACTATATACGTTGCGTTGTTCCCTTGTAATGAGTGTGCTAAGCTGATCATACAGTCTGGTATCACTGAGATATTAAACGTCAGTGATAAATATCATGATACTCATCACATGATTGCTAGCAGGAAACTACTGGACATGGCTAAAGTTAAATACAGGTTAGTTTCTTTAATAAACTAAAACTACATGCATACATCTACAATTATACAAAAACTAAAATGTCTAACAGACCAAGAAAGGAAAGAAGATACCGGTATCATATCTATTTTTATTACCTCTAACAATGTTTTTTTAAATAAAAACTACTACAAATTGAAGGCTGTTTTTGGAGCCCCTTCTTTTCTTTAGAATGCTGCTTTTGTTAGAGACTCAGCAGTTTGCTCTGAGTGCCTGGGAATC